AGTAGGCTCCCCTTGGCCCAAAGTGCAGCCTATCGTGGCAGGGAGGCATGTGGGGGAAAGAGGGCATTTAAATGCCTCTTCAGCTCAGTGGAGCATCATGGCTTCTCACAGCACAGGACTGCGGTGACGTGGACCCTCTAAGTTTCCTCCTCCCCAACATCAAGATAAAGTGAAAGTAAACAGGCGCTTGGAAAATTACTCGTGTTCTTCCTCCGCAAGGCACATGAAAGGGGTGGCAGGAAATGTGTTCCATCTCCTTTCTTTTTGGCCTTGCCAGAACTCACTGCGCCCCAGAGCCGAGCTCCTAGGAAGTCTCTTCTATAGCGCCCTCTTAGAGCACAAACTTGTAATGGCTTTGTTGCTTATGGTTGCTCTAACCCGCATAGGCATCTGAAAAGGCTTTGTGATCCATCTTAATTTCCATTTCCATGAGAAAGATAATTTATTCCTGAACTGAATGAGACATTTATTTGTCCCACTCTGTTCATCTCAGGCAGTTCTGTGATTTTCCTGAGAGGAATCAGGCACGTCCTATGGTGTTCGTCCTGCCTTCAAGTTTAAATACTATCAATATCTTTCTATTGGGGGAATATTATTTTGAACAGCGGTGATAAGCCTCCCTTAGAGAAGAGATGTTTTTATTTTTTTATTTTTTACTTTGCAACAAGGTTTAAATTCAAACATCTTGATTTCTGGTTCTTGAAAACGAAATAAAGGCTGAAGTAAGAAAGACATTACATTGGTTAATACAAACTGCTGACTTCAGCATGTGTCTCAATTTCTTTCATAACTGATTCACAAGGCCAGTTGGCATGCCCATTCCCTCTGGATCTGACTGCTCGGTGGATAGTGACGCTTGACATGCAGGGTTTCAAAGGCTGGAGCCCATGAAGAAAAAGGTTTGATAAATTAGAATGTGAGCTCCATGAGCAGAGGGAAGGGCTTTTTCACTGCTGTGTCCCAGGTGCAAAGAAGAAAGCCTCGCCCATGAATGCTCAGTAAGTATCAGTTGCATAACTGGGAGGGGAAATATTCTGCCTATGGGAACTAAGCTGTTCTCAAACCACTTACCAGTAACTGCCACATAACATTTTGAGGTGAGAATTTCTTCACTTAAAAGGTGTTGGCACATTTAATTTTTTTTTTGAGAAAACAACATGAATATAAGAATATACATACATATAGGTGTATATATATTTCAAATTCAATTTTTTGTCTATTTAATAAAGGGTTATTTTCTAAATATTAAGCAACTGAAATATAAGACAAAGCATATATAGTTAGTTATGAGGAATATCATGCTGAGATGAATCAAATGGACCCTGACTTCAAGATGCTCAAGATGAATCTAATCTATAATAATAAAAGGGTAATATGCTAATTAGACTGGACATCCTTCCGGATGAAGCTGGGGCCAGGGGGAAGAGAGCCTGGGTCCCGGGTGCCAGCGGGAGGCCAGAGGAAAGCCAGACCGGGTCCCGAGTGCCTGCAGGTGGCCAGAGGGAATACAGCCCGAGTTCTGGGTGTCAGAGGGAAGCCAGTGCTGGCAGCCAGGGGGAAGGAAGGCCTATTCTGGCACGAATTTTGTGCATCGGGCCTCTAGTCCTGTATAATAAAAAGCTAATATGCAAATAAATAGACTGAACAGCAGAACAACCGGTCACTATGACACACACTGACCACCAGGGGGCAGACACTCAATGCAGGAGCTGCCCCCTGGTAATCAGGGCGCTCCCACAGGGAGTGCTGCTCAGCCAGAAGCTGGGCTCACGGCTGGCGAGTGCAGCGGCAGTGGTGGGAGCCTCTCCTGCCTCCATGGCAGTTGGACATCCCCCGAGGGCTCCCGGACTGCGAGGCCGGGCTGAGGAAACCCCGACCCTGAGTGCACGAATTTCGTGCACCAGGCCTTTAGTTGGGAGATAAACAAGCATGTGTTCACATACATTATAAAGAGAAAGCCATGGAGGAGAAAGGGGGTCAAGGAGCTTGACTGAGTGCCAGGGAAGCCTCTGAGGAGGGAAAGGACTGTGTCAAATGCATTTCTGTGTCCTTGTTGCCTGGCCGAGTAGACAGATATTTGAATGAATGACTGAATGCATGAATGAATAAAATTCGTTCTCATAATTGAGCCTGCGTTCTTGAGTTTAAAATAAAGAAAAAATATAGTGTTTCAGGGGATCAAAAGGGAGAAACCATGTCTAAATCAGGGAGGGTGGAAGAAATCAGGGGTCAGAAAGGAAGTGGGAATGAAGAGCAACCTTCCAGGCCCAAGGAATACAATTAATAAAGGTCTGAAGGGGAAGGGAAAATGGAGAACCATGGGGAAGAGTTAAGTAGCCAGATGCAGCTGCCACAAGGTGTGGTGGGAGGTGGGGGTGAAGCAGCTTGAGCACAGGAGTGAGGGGGGCAGGCTGCTCAGTAGAGGAGTTTATTGTGTAGGCGAAGGGAGGCCGAGGGGTTCACGCTGGGGAAGTCCTGATCAGGGAGATGAGTATTGGGGGCATTAACCAGCACTGGTGGGAAGCTGGACAGAGAAGGATCTGACTAAAACGGCTGTGAGGCCACTTAACTTTTCCATTCCAGGTGGAAACAAAAGCTACAAGAATCTTATTTAGGAAATGGCATGGGGATTAAAAGAGACTTGAAAAACTGGAATGGAAAAGGCAGGTGGTTAATTAGACACAGGGCTGGGGGTGGGAGACTAGAAAGGAGGAAGAATAAAAAATAACCTCGGGTCCAAGCCTAAGTGACTGCGGAAATGAAACTTTTAACAGGAATAAGTGGCAGGAACAGCCACTCTTATTGGGGATGGCGATGAGAGAGTGAGGTTGGATTTAAACAAGTCTTAGGTACAGAGAAGATTGCCAGTTGGGGATGTCCAGCAGGTAGTTGAAAACCTGATATTGATTATGTAGTAGTCTGAGCAACAGATTTTAAAAAAATGATGTAATTTATTTATTTATTTTTTATTGCTTAAAGTATTACAAAGGGTATTACATATGTGTCCTTTTTTTTCCTCCGCCCTTGACAATCCCCTGGCCTCCCCTACCCCCCAGTGTCTTATGTCCATTGGTTATGCTTATTTGCATGCATACAAATCCTTCGGTTGATCTCTTACCCCCCTCCCTCCTGCCCCCCAACCCTCCCCGGCCTTCCCGCTGCAGTTTGACAATCTGTGTGAGGCAGCTCTGCCTCTGTATCTATTATTGTTCAAAAGTTTATAATGGTCTCTATTATCCATGAATGAGTGAGATCATGTGGTATTTTTCCTTCATTGACAGGCTTATTTCACTTAGCATAATGCTCTCCAGCTCCATCTATGCCGTTGCAAATGGTAAGAGTTCCTTCTTTTTTACAGCAGCATAGTATTCCATCGTGTAGATGTACCACAGTTTTCTAATCCATTCATCTACTGATGGGCACTTAGGCTGTTTCCAGATCTTAGCTATGGTGAATTGTGCTGCTATGAACATATGTGTGCATATATCCTTTCTGATTGGTGTTTCTGGTTTCTTGGGATATATTCCTAGAAGTGGGATCACAGGGTCAAATGGGAGTTCCATTTTTAGTTTTTTGAGGAAACTCCATACTGTCTTCCATAGTGGCTGCACCAGTCTGCATTCCCACCAGCAGTGTACGAGTGTTCCTTTCCAGCACTTGTCGTTTGTTGATTTGTTGATGATAGCCAGTCTAACAGGTGTGAGATGGTACCTCATTGTTGTTTTGATTTGGCATCTCTCGGATGATTAGTGACTTTGAGCATGTTTTCATATGTCTCTTGGCTTTCTGAATGTCCTCTTTTGAAAGGTTTCTATTTAGATCCTTTGCCCATTTTTTGATTGGATTGTTTATCTTCTTTTTGTTAAGTTGTATGAGTTCCCTATAAATTTTGGAGATTAGGCCCTTATCAGATATGACGTTGGCAAATATGTTTTCCCAAGAGGTGGGTTTTCTTGTTGTTTTGTTGATGGTTTCTTTTGCTGTGCAAAAGCTTTTTATTTTGATGTAGTCCCATTTGTTCATTTTCTCTTTAGTTTCAAGTGCCCTAGGAGCTGTATCAGTGAAGAAATTGCTTTGGCATATGTCTGAGATTTTGTGGCCTTTGGATTCTTCTAGAATTTTTATGGTTTCCTGTCGTACATTTAAGTCCTTTATCCATTTTGAGTTTATTTCTTGTGTATGGTGTAAGTTGGTGGTCTAGTTTCATTTTTCTTGCATATATCTGTCCAATTTTTTCCCCAACACCATTTTATGGAAGAGACTATCTTGGCTCCATAAAAAATGATGTATTTATTTGAATAGGTTATACCACTGCCACTTTTGGTCAAGTGAAAATTAATTCTCCTTCCTACTGCTGATTGCCTATTTTTTCTCTCCAGAGGTAGCCATGGATTCTGGTTTCTTGAGAACGATTCTCAAGATATTCTGCATGTATATATCCCTAGGAGAGTTTGTATTTTTGTTTTTTAAAGGCTAGAGAAGATTGTCATTGAGACAGAAGGAAAAGAACAAGAAGAGGTAGAGATTCAAAAGGAATTACTGAAGCAAGATCTTAGAGAAGGTAAGACAGGATAGAATCAGTGGTGGGCTAGAAAGGGCAGGCCAATGGCAATAGCAATATCTATTTTATTTTATTTATTTTTAATATATTTTTTATTGATTTCAGAGAAGGAGAGGGAGAGATAGAAACATCAATGATGATAATTATTGATTGGCTGCCTCCTGCATGCCCCCTACTGGGGATTGAACTCACAACCTAGGCATGTGCCCTTGACCTGAATGGAACCTGGGACCCTTCAGTACATAGGCCGATGCTCTACCCACTGAGCCAAACCAGCTAGGGCTTGATTTCCATTTTAAATAGCTGGCCTACTTCTCCTCTACCTGGTGTGGCAGAGATGCATGTAGAGGTACATTGGGGGCTTTAGGAGGATGGCAGAAAAGATGTAAAATAGCCACTGTGGACACTGGAAAATATCATAGAACTGTCAGAGCCAAAAAGCAATTCAAAAAGGTTTATTTTGATGATTTATAAAAGAAATATCACCACTGCAACTTAAAGCTATTTACAGATTTAAAAATAAATTTACAGAAATTATTCACATCATATTACATTAAGCAGTTTTATTAAAATGTTACAGGTAGTGTTGAACAAACATATAACATAAACCAAGTTCTAATCACATAAAAGCCCTCAAAGTATGTTCAAAACCCATTGGAAGATGGTCTAGGAAAAAATGGAAATATGATTTAGGAATCAGCAGGAAGATGATTTTCACCTTTACATTATAACTGGTCTCAGGAGACGTGGCCTTTAAAAGTCACTTAAACCTTAAACTGCAACCAGGGTCTTACATTTGGACAAATAGCTGGCGTAGCTCATAGAACACAGGACTTGGAATTTATAGTCCGATCTACTCAAAGGTAGTTTTAATCAAGGATGATGGTGTTAGTGGTTAATTGGCCATCACACTTTACTCTCACAGGTTACATGCCAATCAATATTCCTGGGAGGGGAAAGTTTGAGGATTTTTCAGAGCCATGGCTGCGATCTCAATGCTCCTGCCTCCTCGGGGTTGTATCTGCACCTTAACAGCCCCCAGGGGAAGAACACCATCCAGAGACTTGGCCCTGAGCCTGGGCTTAGCTGCCGCCTCTGATAAATGCTGGGCACTGTCCCTGAAGCCAGGAAGGGACTGCGTGGCAGCTGCCTGGGCATGCTTCCCTCAGCCCAGCTGCCGATCCGAATTAGAGAATGGCCGGCAGCGCCATGGAGATGCTAAACTTTGAAACCTAAGTGTCAGGGATTGCTGATGACAAATAATTTTTATGAAGAAAGTGGGTAAAAATAGGTGTTTACCAAGACCTGAGACTTATTAATCTAGTTTAATTAAGCAAAGGCATAGAAGAGTCCACTTCAGCTCATTCAATAGAACTCCCCTACTTCATATTGCTGACTTGCAGCCAGGTATGTGACCCTTAAGTATGAATTCCAGCATATATGTTATTAATAATTAAAAATAGCTAATTTTACTAATCTGGCCACTAATGACATTTCATGATTACAAGCCTTAAAAATTTAATACACATACAATTTTTTTTCTTGTATATAGAATGCTTACATATTAAAATATCAAAGGCACTTTTAGGTTACATGATAAGCAAAAATACATGAGTAGAGACAGAATTATTTATTGGTTCCTTCAGTTTCTGTGTCCATGGTGATCATCAAGGGCCCAGTTTTGCACTTCACCTTTACCGAAGAGTGTGAAGAAAATGGCACCAAATACATTAATAGCAGCAGCGATCCAGAAAACAGTTTGCCATTCCCTAATAGTGTTCTGTAGAGAAAGAAAGAAAAAATGCACATGAAAATTTCTTGTTTACTTTATAACACTAAACACACACTGCGCGCGCGCCCACACACACAACCCAGTAGAACTGGCAATGAGAAAAAAAAAGGCAGTAGAAAGCTAGCATGAGGTCATTTACTCAAGGAAAAAGGAAAAATCTGAAGAAAGGAGCACTATGTGGTTGTTATACTTAATCTGAGATGAATGTATTTTGGTGAAAAAAATCTTAGAAATCCATCTTAAATTTTAGTAACTATTTAGATATGCCAACAGTGTGTTGCCACCCTAGAGGAGTCAGTCAATAATTACATCATATGCCAGGAAGAAATGTTTAAGACAGCTTCTTAGGATTTCTAAGACCAAGCTTCTCTGTGTCAATGGGATACAATAATACCTTAGTGTTATTTGGAGACAGTGAGTAACTTAAAATCAATCAATTGTACCAGAAATCTCACATAGCTCCTAGTTGGCTTTTTAACAAAAATTTCACCAGTTTTTAGAGAACGCTGTTTTGTTTGTAACAAAAATGAATCTTAGCCAAGCTGGTGTGGCTCAGCGGTTGAGTGTTGACCCAGGAACCAAGAGGTTGCTGGTTTGATTCCCGGTCAGGGCACATGTTTGGGTTGCAGGCTCAATCCCCAGTAGGGAGTGAGGCAGCTGATTCAACAAATAGTACATGTGACAAAAATCCATCAGTATCTATCAATGTTTCTATTTCTCTCTCTCTCAAAAAGTCAATAAAAAACATTAAAAAAAACCACCCCAAAACCTGAATCTCAGACACACTTTGACTTTTAATTATTTATATATACTCTGACTCATTCCACAAAGTTTTTGAGGCAGTACAGTAAATTTCAATGGTAAGCAATTTTAATTTTAAAGCAAATGTGGTTTTACTTTTAAAAGATATCACTAAACTAATGCTTTAGTAACATATCCAAAATCCAGTTCAGTTCCCATTTTACAAACATTCAAGACTTTAATTCAGGAGTCCATATTTCCCTAGCATAAGCGCTGGGAGTATCAATAAGTGAAAGTAACATGTGGTAGTGTGTTGTCACAATGATGTATGTTGAACATTTCTGACATGTCCACATGGAGACACAGAATTTTTGGAAAAAAAACAACAACAAAACTTTCCCAACATATCTTTCCATTATGTGAGAACACAGTAACAAGGGGCACTGACTCATTTAAGTAAGGAATTGGTGGGAAGAGAGTATGGGAGCATTGCCTATGGTGAACACATAGATGTCTGAAATAGTCTATTTGGTAATGAAAAAGTTTGCATATTCTAAAAGTGTTAATTCGATTACAGAGACAAAACAGAGAAAACTAAGTCTCTTTTAGAAGTTTAAGTCAGCTTCTCGAAGAATATATTTCACCAGTTCATTAGATTTTTTTAAAAATAGGAAACTGGAGTTAGAAAGGGCCTTTGAGGTCATTTATTTTGATTTCACACACAATGGAGGAACCCTTTTATTTATTTATTTATTTAAATTTTAAAAAATCTTTATTGTTCAGATTATTACAGTTGTTCCTCCCCCCCATAGCTCCTCTCCACCCAGTTCCCACCCCGCCCTGCCCTTACCCCCCCCCACTGTCCTCATCCATAGGTGTATGATTTTTTTCCAGTCTCTTCCCGTACCCCCCACACCCCCTTGCCCCCGAGAATTTTCAGTTCATTCCCTTTCTATGCCCTTATTCTATTCTATTCACCAGTTTATTCTGTTCGTCAGATTTTTTATTCACTTGATTTTTAGATTCACTTGTTGATAGATATGTATTTGTTGTCACTTTGTTGTTCATAATTTTTTTAAAAATATATTTTATTGATTTTTTACAGAGAGGAAGGGAGATGGAGAGGGATAGAGAGTTAGAAACATCAATGAGAAAGAAACATCGATTCAGCTGCTTCCTGCACACTCCCTACTGGGGTTATGCCCACAACCAAGGTAAATGCCCTTGACTGGAATCGAACCTGGGACCCTACGGTCCGTAGGCCGACGCTCTATCCACTGAGCCAAACCGGTCAGGGCTATTGTTCATAATTTTTATCTTTACCTTTTTCTTCTTCTTTCTCTTCATAAAGAATACATTTCAGCATTTCAAATAATAGTGGTTTGGTGGTGATGAACTCCTTTAGCTTTTTCTTATCTTTGAAGCTGTTTATCTGACCTTCAATTCTACATGATAGCTTTCCTGGGTACAGTAATCTTGGTTGTAGGTTCTTGGTATTCATCGCTTTGAATATTTCTTGCCACTCCCTTCTGGCCTGCATGGTTTCTGTTGAGAAATCAGCTGACAGTCGTATGGGTACTCCCTTGTAGGTAACTGACTGTTTTTCTCTTGCTGCTTTTAAGATTCTCTCTTTGTCTTTAGCCATTGGCATTTTAATTATGATGTGTCTTGGTGTGGTCCTCTTTGGATTCCTTTTGTTTGGGGTTCTCTGTGCTTCCTGGACTTGTAAGTCTATTTCTTTCACCAAGTAGGGGAAGTTTTCTGTCATTATTTCTTCAAATAGGTTTTCAATATCTTGCTCTCTCTCTTCTTCTGGCACCCCTATAATTCGGATGTTGGTACACTTAAAGTTGTCCCAGAGGCTCCTCTCCTTGCACTATCTTCGTATTTTTGGATTCTTTTTTCCTTTTGCTTTTCTGGTTGGGTGTTTTTTGCTTCTTCATATTTCAAATCTTTGACTTGATTCTTAGGATCCTCTAGTCTGCTGTTGGATCTCTGTATATTATTCTTTATTTCAGTCAATGTATGCTTAATTTCTGATTGGTCCTTTTTCATATACTTGAGGGTCTCACTAAATTTCTCAGAGGTTTCTAGAAGATTCTTGAGTAACCTTATAACTGTGGTTTTCAACTGTATATCCAGTAGTTTGATTTCCTCCATTTCTTTCATTTGGACCTGTTTCTTTGTCTCCGCATTTTGGCTGCTTCCCTGTGTTGATAGAATGGCTTTGTGTGCTAGGTGTCCTTTAGGGCCCAGTGCTCAGCTTCCCTAATTACCTGAGGTGGACACTCTTGGTGCACCCCTTTGTGGGCTGTGTGCACAGTCTTGTTGTAGTTAAGCCTTGATTGCTGTTGGTATCACTGGGAGGAATTGACCTCCAAGCCAATTGGCTGTGAGGACCAGTTGTGTCTATAATGGGAGAACTGCGGTGCTGGAGACACCCTTATGGGGCACGACTTGCTTCAGTGGGGCTTTGGTGCTCACTGAGTCTGCCCCCTGAGTGTGTCTCTTATGGATATGAAGAGTTGTAATCTGAATGGTCTCACTCTGACCACAGGGTACACTGGCTCTTGGATCTCCAAGGAGGTGCAAAGTCAGCCACTGCCTGAGGCCACCCAGCAGGAGCTACAGAGAGATCTGCAGATTCCTCCTCTTTGTTTGGGGTTTGGAGGTGCCCAGATGAAGCGCAGTTGTGAAGCAGTGCAGGCTGCTGATGAGCCTTAGGCCTTCTTTTGGAAGCTCTGGGGTTCTCTGACCCAGCTGCAGCTTGACAGGTTTTTAGGCAGAGAAAGGCCAGGCCATTCATATGCAAAAGCCTCTGCACACAGCTTGGGTCGGGTTGTTAATTGAGTGGGGTGGGGTCTCAGAGAATCACCAGAGCAGAACAAAGAGCAATGGCTGCCAGTCTGCTCTGTCTCAGAGAGGTCCCGGGTCTTTGTGTCCCACGGCCCCGTGCAGGAACAATGACCGCTGCAAGCACCTCTGCAAGAAAGCTGCCCTCACGTTCTAGCCCAATGCCAGACAGTCCAGTTTCTCTCCGTATGAGTCTGGGTCCCCAGATTCTCGCCCGGAACTGGAGTTCAGAGCAGTTGGGAGCTTGCATCTCCCTCCTTTATAAAAAAGACAATAGTATACCCAGCTGCCAGCCCCTTCCGCGCGCCTCCATACCTCCACGCTTCCACACATCTGCTCCTCCTACCGGACTCAATGCACTTTTCTCTTTCCTTCTAGTTGTAGATTTCCACTCAGTCAGCCTTCCCGTGGTTCTGGATGATATTCATTTTGTCTTTTAGTTGTAGTTTTAATGTGGTTGTGCGCGGCAGCAAGTTCAGGTGTTTACCTATACTGCCATCTTGGTTGTCCCTGGAGGAACCCTTTTAGATGGCAAAGTGTCTGCTTACTGATCTGGCCCCATGCTGCCAGCTGCAGGCCAGACAACTCGGCCCACCCTGCTTCTCAGGGCTCAGGGCCTAGGGCAGGGGTGGGCAACCCCTGGCACGCATGCCAAATATGGCATGCCAGTAACTTTTGCTGGCACGCGAAACCCTCTCTTATAATCTTCCATTTACAATTTTTTTCTTAATATCGACTTTTTATTTTTCAGATAAATTCAGTGTAGGTGCATCTTAGATAAATAAATAATTTTACATAACAAGTTAGCTTAAAGACCATAGACATGGATTGACGAGAGAGGGGAAGAGCAATTTCAATAGTGTTGAAAACGAACTATTGAGGACTTGGAATGCCATTCCAGAAAATTTTTTCTGTTTAAAAAACTTTGCAACATCATTACTCTCCATGTTTTCATCCACATACGCTTGTGAATCTTTGTTCTCAGTGATGAATTTTGTTAAGTCTCGTAATAGGAGTAGTCTGACGGATGAAAGTAGCAGCTCGTGTATATCTCTGAAGGTCACGAAATATAAAGCTGATGTAAAATCTCTGTCATCAGTGATGCAGCAGCAAAAGTCCCACTGATAATATCAAACGGAGTCATAAAGTTTTCTGTCGGACTATCAGTGTACATGTATACATTAAAAAATAAATGTATTTTTCATCATCATATACTGTGTTTTTGTCGCTTGAATGAATTTTATTATTTCTTCAAGGTTCTTCACATACGTACACCTTAAGAGATATCAAATAGGCGTAACACATTCTCAAAAAATTAGGGTTGGCACACAGAAGAATTTTGAGTCAGAGATTTTGCTGGTTTTGGCACGCACTCACAAAAAGGTTGCCCACCCCTGCCTAGGACCTCTGCACAGGCCTCTTCCCACCCACTGGGCTCAGTCCTCTAGTGCTCCATCCCCACAGACTGGTTATTCTCTCCTCTGTGACCAGAACACTCTGCACACATTTTTTTTCCTGCAGCATTTGTCATGCTTTATTTTATTTGATTTCATATAATCTCTAAATGATGATTTTCTCAAGTGCAGAAACTTGTCATTTTTGCCACTGAATCCTCAGTATCTGGCACATTAATTAGCACCCAAGAAATGCCTTTGAAAACATGTTTGACTATTTCAGGGCTCACTAATTCATAAGGCAGCTCATCCCATATAGCAACAGCTTTAAACAAAAAACTTTCCTATGGTCTCCTCATGACTTCTCTCCACCTGTCTTTGTGAAACTGCTGAGAGCAAGTCGCTGTCTTTCATATGGAAGTCTTCCCAAGTCTCTGCTCCTCTAAACAGTCTCCATTATTTCAACTGTTCCTTATTCATTCTCACATGACTTCCTGCTCCTTACCTTCGTGCATCCAATTTTTGAATAATTATACATTACCAATTTTTATTCATTCAAATAAAAAGCACAGTCATTTGTATGATATAATATCACAATTTTTAAGTACTTGTGTAGTTTCAGCTATAAGATCTTTGTTTAACTTAGTTCTATTGTTCTGTCTAATCCAAGGAGTGTTCTTTGAACATATACATTTCTACCCATTAAGACATTTACTTTTTGCTGCTATAAAGAATTGCATAAGAATAAATGTTCAGAATTTTACTCTTAATTAAAGTACATTCAACTTTGACACAGATGTGTAGCTTCCAGTGAACTGTTTAGATCTCTTCAGTTTATATGTTAATTATCTCCTTACCTCAGGGGTCAGACTTTTAGCAATGACAGGCCCAATCATTCCTGGAATAGTGGCAAACGAATTTGTGATGCCTAGGAGGATGCCAGCATACCTGCAGGAACATTTTCATAGAGGTTTATATTGTATCACACACTTAAGTAACTTTTTTCAATAGATAGCTATACCACTTCCAGGCTGTGTTCTTATGAAACTTTAAATTAAATGCCTTACTGGAACAGGACATTACTGAAATGTTTAGCTGGTGAAAACTTGCATTTCAATAGTTAAATAGCATTCTAACATTATTTAAACATGGCCATTGAAATAAATCCTGTTTATAGTGATATAGGAAAGTGCTGAGAGATGATTTTCATCATGAGCATATCTAAATAGGAAGCTTGATATGTCTTACGTTTTTTAAGTTAAAAAAAGTTATTTCCTGATCACAAAATTTATTTCATTGTTGAAAACAAACAAACAAAAAACATTAAGAAAAACTAAAATGATCTATAATCCTTCCATATATAATCAACATTAACATTTTGGTAAATATCCTAATTATTTTTTATGTATATTTCTAATATATTATTATAGAAATGAGATCATACTGAACATCAATTTTACATCTTACTTGCTCTACTTATTATATATCTTCTTATACTGAAATCCTTTCATACTGTCCCAGAAGTAGACAAGTTGAGTCTATAGTGTGTGTGTGTGTGTGTGTGAGAGAGAGAGAGAGAGGAGAGAGAGAGAGAATGCATTTTTAATAAGCTCAGAAAAAGTTATGATTTATTTTAAGGGTAAATCTTAGGGGAGTGTGATATTCTTATCTATGTTTACATGCAAATCCTTAAAGAATTCCTGCCTGTGTTTGGGAAATGCTAATGAACTGTTGATTTCTCCAGTACATAAAGAATGTATATAAACTAAACAAGGCTACCATAGCCAATATTTTGGTTACCATCCTAAAAAGAATGAAATGCTTATCATTGTCTATAAAGAAGTCATAGGGATGATAATCAGGAGACCTAAAAATTCCTACCTAGTTCCACAATTAACCATCTAATGTGACCTTGGGCAAGTTAGTGATAAATTACTTCCCTTGTCATTGATGGGTTCACAGATGTGTATATGTAAAATATCTGGTGGTCCCACCTGAGCTCCCCCACATCCCACCAAGTATATGAAAAGAAAAATTTTAAGTACAATATACATATGGAAATGTGTAAAAACCATATGGAGCTTGAAAATTTTTTAAAAAAATAAATGCAAATGGTTTTTATTGTATTTATTTATCTTTTAAATTTATCTTTATTGTTGAAAGTATTACAGATGTCCCCTTTTTTTACCCCGTTGACCCCCCTTCCTGCCCCTTCCCCAGGCCTTCACACAGTGAGCACAATCATGTCACTAGCACCTGATCAAGAAACAGAACCCACTGGTAAAACCATTTTAAAGGACATTTTACATATGGTTGAACTGCCTTTCAGACTGTATAAGATTAAATTTGTTGGGTCACCTCTCTCCTACTCAAAAACCTACAAAGATGGTTTAATGCTCACCGTCATCTTCTGCCTGATTTGCAGTGGCCTGGCCCTGGCTCATCTACCCAGCCTTGTTTCCTAGCACCACACAGTATTCAACTTTAGACCCAGACAGCTCTCATTCCAGCTGCTCACTCTGCCATGCTCATTCCTGGTACTTACCTATTTTCACTATCTGAAGTCCACACTCCTGTCCATCCAAACCACTTGCTTGGCACCTGTTCCATGAAGCTTTTTCTGTCCAGTTCAGCTCATACTGAGCTCTGTCTTTTCAGAATCTTTAATGCTTTTAAAGCTGGCACTATGTGTTTCAAGAGGTTCTGTTCTCTAATTCATGTTTGCTAATTCTGACGCTAGTCTCACTGCAAACTCATGGTTTACTCCCCTTTATTATTCCCAGTGGCCAGTACAACATATGTGCTCATTCAATACACAGAGACGGTGCACATGACCCACAGTTGTTCAAGGCCCCTTGCATGGATCCATGGGGCTCTGGCTGCACTGACTGCTGGGCTTAGTCCCACAGAGACTGGCACCCGACTTGGGCATCAACTCCAAAGGGTGACAATTCCTAAGCAGAAATTTCTTATAAATGGAATCATATTGTATGCCACCTTTTAAGTTACATACTAGGGTGCTGAGCATCATTCCAAGTTGTGTGGATCAGTAGTTCATTCCTTTTTCATTGTTCTCTCTCCAGGAACTAGGATTTTATCCTGTAGATAGTCCTACTTTCTGGATTTGTAGATTGCTTCCCTAAGGTATCACTTAACATAATATTATGTCCCCTGCACACTGGTAGTATCTAGACTAGATCCTAGAGGGTTTATTAGATTTGGGTCTGATATTTTTAGCAAGAAAACTTAAAGGTGGTGGTGTAGTTAAAAATGAGTTAACGAGCCCAGCTGGTGTGGCTCAGTGGTTGAGCATCGACCTATGAACCAGGAAGTCATGGTTTGATTCCCGGTTAGGGCACATGCCAGGTTGTGGGCTCCATCCTCAGTGGGGGAAAGGGGTGTGTGCAGAAAGCAGCTGATGGATGATTCTCATTATTGATGCTTCTATTTCTCTTTCCCTCTCCCTTCCTCTCTGAATTTAATCAAAGTATTTTTTTAAAGAAAAATTAATCAAGTAAATGGCATTTATTTGTCATAAAAATCACCTACATATAGGAAAAGTCCAATTAGACCTTTTAATTTTTATGATATTCAAGGTTATTATAAAATAAAATTCCAGTCAAATTAAGGAAGCTTGATGATTATTAGTATGTATAACCTTTTAAAATATATTTTATTGATTGATTTGAGAGAAAAAGAGAGAGAGAAAGACATATTGACTTATTGTTCCACTTATTGATGCATTAATTGGGTGATTCTTGTATGTGCCCTGACCAGAGATAAAACCCACAACCTTGACGTTGGGAGAATGTTCTAACCAACTGAGCTTCCCAGCCAGGGCTAGTCTATAGAATCTTAAAGTGGCATAATACTGTTTCTATTAGGGTTTAGGATTCTCAATACCTCGGCTGTAGACTACTGATCTAAAATTCCTCTCCTCTTTTTATTTAAAATTTTTTGGTTAATCCTCACCTGAGGATATTTTTCCCACTGATTTTTAAAAAATATTTTTTAATTGATTTTAGAGAGGAAGGGAGAGGGAGAGATAGTAAAATCAATGATGAGAGAGAATCATTGATTGGCTGCCTCCTGTACATCCCCTACTGGGGATAAAGCTAGCAACCTGGGCATGTGTCCCTTACTGGAATTGAACCCGGGATCATTTAGTCCACAGGCCAATGCTCTATCCACTGAGCCAAACCAACTAGGGCCCATTGATTTTTAGAGAGAATGGAAAGGAGAGAGGAGAAAGAGAGAGAGGAAGAGAGAAACATTGATGTGAGAGAGACACATTGATTAGTTGTCTCCCACACGTCCCCAAATGAAGAGGAAGATGTGCCCTGAGTCTTATAAGAATAGGAAAAGAGAGAGATGCTCTCTTGATCTTTGTTGAGGAAGTATTGAGGAAAGACCATGTGAAGACACAGGGAGAAGGAAGAGTCCTCACCAGAACCTGGTCATGCTGGCACTACGATCTCAGACTTCCAACTTCTAGAAGTATGAAAAAATAAATTCTTGTTTTTCAGCTACCTAGTCCATTTTGTATGGTTGCCTGAGCTGACTAATACAGTGCCTGAATAAAAAAAAACAACCCTGAACCTAATTCAGTTATCTATGAACATCATAAATTTTTATGTTCAAAACTCATGCATACAGAATACAATAACAAAACCATGTGGCACAGACTTTTTTGGCTTATGCCCTTTAGGGAGTGTATCTTAAATTAACCAAGCTTGGCAGAACCTGTCTTTTTAAAAAAAACCATTAACACCTTGGCAGTAGGAGGAATGACAGCAATGCTGCCAGTGACAGATATTAAGTGCAGATGAATGTTGTGAAATTCTAAATGTCAGCACCAAGAAGCTCATTCAAGTATTTATATTACACTAGGCCAGGAAGGGCCATGAAAGATTGATGACTGATTGGAAAAAACATGGTGCATGGACTCAGTCTGGATTTTTTGCTATTGGAGTACTAGAATTCTGTGGCATTAATAGTTAAAAACCTACCCAATTCCCTTGAATCTGGGCAACAAAACCATCCATAGAAAATCCCTATTTCAGTCTATAGAAGAAAAGGCTTAGAAAATACCATGTGCATATTTAGATGTCAATAGGAACACTGTTTATTGAAAAACCTTATGTCAGGCATGGTTCTAAATTTATATCTATATGTGTATATGTATTTGTGTGTGTGTCTGTGTGTATATATATAAATATATATATATACACACACACACACACACATATATATACATACACACACACACAGATATAGTCTCATTTGAATAGTAAACTCTACTCCATGAGGATTATCTTCATTCTATATATGAAGAAAGACTAATATGTTACCCAATTTGTCTGATTCTAAATCAGTACTTAATATTTTAATGTTATAATTTCTAATGTTGCCTTGTTAAAAACGTAGCCATTACTGAGTTCAATCTATAAGACCAATTTTCCCATGCTTAATTTTTCACCACAAGCCTCAGTGCTGAATGCTTATTGGTCAGTGGTACTCAAGTGTTGCTCTAACCTGCAGTGCTATCCACTGTGTGGGGACTCAGTGGTTACCAAGACAAAAAGCAACTATGCAACAACATGGTCATAAGACACGGAATGCCTCAGTTAACCAAGACACAGGGAACTAGAAACAGCTAGTATGCTTTGAACAAAGAAATTCTAGTAGGAAAACAGAAACCAAAAGCTCATCTGAAGAGTTGAATCAAAATGCAAGGGAGATAAATAATTTTGCCTTTGATTAGATTAATTTACAGTTGTGCAGCTGCATAATTTTAAAAGTTACATATGTTGTTCACATATACATACATATGTACATATGTTGATCACAGCCATAAATCTGGTGCCTCCATCAGCTTAGAGAACGTACAACTTTCTTCATTACCTGAGGTCTACAGGCACTTACCATTCTCCTAACTTCTAGGACTA